GCCTAAATCCTCCTGGTCAGTAACCACTCCCGGACTACTCTTTGTGGTACTGGAGGTATAATCAGTTTCTGCAGACTAAAATCTCCTACAAGGCAAAAGGTAAGCCTAGGAGAATTTACATCATCCTCCACTTACTCCTCCCTATATTGCCTCTGTGTTTTTCTGCATAATAGATACTGCTCAACATCTAAATGTGATGATCATTTAATCTATACATTCACTTAATCTATAAAATAAAGACAGATTTTAAAGAGCAGTTTCCAGTACCTACTCTGACTAGAACACTATGTCTTGCCTCATGTCATTTGTATACAAATGGCTCCATTATAAAATAATTACCTTTTATTGAGCACTTTCTATGTGCGAGGGACTGGACTAAACATTTCACACGCCTCATAAGTTAAAAGGTTATTTCATTTATATCATTTAAATATTATTTATCAAGTTGACCCAAAACAAAAAGGTTTTGCTCTCTTAATCTTCTCTGGGAAAAATGGAGCCTTGCCTTATATTAAAAGGAGCTCTGGTGGCATAGTTTCTAAGGCATTTGACTGCTAACTAGAAGGTTGGAGATTCAAATCCACTAGCCACTCTGCAGAAGGAAGATGAAGCAATCTACTTGCATAAAGATTTACTGCCTTGGAAACCACTGTGGATTGTTCTGAGTTGGAATCAACCTGATGGCAGTGGGTTTGGGTTTTGGTGGGTTTTGCCTTATATTAGTGTCAGTCTGGATGTAAGCATAGAAGGTAATCCTCACAACTACCCCACGCTGTACAAATCATCATCCTCATTGTACAAATGAGGACAATGAGGTTCAGACATTATAAAAATTCACCAAAGTCACACAGTTGCTGAGTGCAAAGTGTCGGGTCCTAACTCCAAGTCTCTCTAGCTCTAAAATTTGTGTTTTATATAGACAACAGAGGCAAATACTATTACATGCACAGTACTGTACTACCACTGACACCAAACACTAGGCTATGGGTAAATGCATAGACAGGTGAGAAGATCAGGTGGGGGTAGGCAAACAGGAATATACCCAAGACAGACAGATTTGGCTGAAGATAATCTTACATATGTACTACAAAATTATCCACATACATTACACAAGTAACAGAAGACAGAGTTGGAGTAGCTTCTCAAGAGACAACAAAAACCTTTAGAGAGAGAATCACCAGGCCTGCAAGCTCAGAGCCATAGTTTTGGGGGACACCATGCTTAATTGGCACAAGATAGTACATAAAAATCTTGTTCTACGTCCTACTTTGGAGTATAGTGACTGGAGTTTTAAAAACTTTTGAGTGGCCATCTAAGATGCAAGTTTTGGTTTCCTCTAATCTGAAGCAAAGAAGAGTGAAGAAAATCAAAGTCATATGGAAACAATTAGTCCAAAGATAAGATGGACCATGAGGACCTCAGCCTTCATGACCCTGAGACCAGAAGAACTAGATGGTGCCCAGATACCGATGCTAACACTCAGAAAGGGATCAAAATTGGAGATCCTGGTTAGAAAAGGAAGAAGAATGTGGAACAAAATTCAAAAACACAAAAATGACCAGAATTACTGGTCGGATAGAGACTGATGGATCCCCCAAGACTATAACCCAGGTTATTCTTCAGGCCTAGAAAAGGACTCACTTCAGTGGACTGGCTCTCAGCTCAACAGTAGAAAGACCTACATGCAGAACACCTACACCAGGGAGATACACCCACCTATCCTAGGGAGATACACCCCTTAGATCAATCAGCCAGGAGACACCAGAGTGGCAGCATTCATACAGAGGGAAAGCTGAACAGAGAGGAATGCAGAGATAAGAAGGGCAGAGAAAGAGAGTAGTCACAGGGAGGAGAGGAGAGTTTCTTATGGTTGGAGATGGTAATCGGGGCTGTGAAATTAAAAGTGCATGAACTGATGAATGTAAAACAAATCTGCTTTGTAAATTTGCACCCAAAGCACAATTGAAAAAATACATAAAAAAGAAAGAAACTTTAAAAATAAAATAAAACCTATGTTCTTAGACACTGCTTCCATACTGGGAAAATCCCACTTGGCTTTATTACTGTTAGGAACAATCAAATCTAAATCTTATTTCCTCCTCTAGCCGGGATCAGTCCGAGAAGCTCTATATGTTCCTTAAACACTAAAGCTATCTGCAAAAGCTTCTCCACCTAAGACCATGGCATGGAAAGCTATGTGTTCTTCCTTTTAAAAAGCAAGATCAATTAAAGTACCCAAACCGAACTCTACTAAGGACTAAAACAGACGACACTGGGCAGCTAGCTGACAAAGCCCAGGTCCTTTTTGTTGTTGATGTCGTTAGGTGTTGTCGAGTCAGTTCCAATTCATAGTGACCCCACGTACAGCAGAATGAAATACAGCCCAGTCATGCATTGTCCTTAGAATCTTTGCTATGCCTGAGCCCATCAGCCACTGTGTCAGTCCATCATGTTGAGGCTTTCCCTTTTTTCAATGATCTTCCACTCTGCTAAGCATGATATACTTCTCCAGGGACTAGTTTCTTCTGACAATATGACCAAAGTACACAAGATGAAGTCTAGTTATTCTAGCTTCTAAGGAGCATTCCAGCTACACTTCCTCCAGGACAGATTTGTTCATTCTTCTGGTAGACCATGATATTTTCAGTATTCTTTACCAACACCACAGTTCAAAGGCATCAACTATTCTTTGGTCTTCTTTATTCCTTGTCCAGTTTAACATGCATATGAGGTGATTGAAAATACCATGGCCTGGGTTAGGCACACCTTAACCTTCAAAGTGACATCTTTGCTTTCTAACACTTTAAATAGGTGTTTTGCAGTAGATTTGCCCAGTGCAATACAATGTCTGATTTCTTGACTGCTGTTTCCATGAGTGTTGATTATGGATACAAGTAAAATGAAATCTTTAACAACTTCAGCCTTTTCTCCATTTTTCATGAGGCTTCTTATTGGTCTAGTTGTGAGGATTTTCCTTTCTTTATGTTGAGGTGTAATCCATACTGCAGACTGTAGTCTTCCATCTTCATCAGTAAGTGATTCAAGCCATCTTCACTTTTAGCAAGCAAAGCTGTATCATCATCATACCACAGGTTCTTAATGAGTCTCCCTCTAAGCCTGATGCTGCGTTCTTCTTCATATATTCCAGCTTCTCAGATTATTTGTTCAGCATGCAGACTGAATAAGTATGGTGAAAGGGTCCCTTTTAAGACACTTCAATTTTATACAACCATTACTCTATCAAGAGACAGAGATGAATATACTAGAAAGAGAGAAAAAAAAATGAAAAATATCCCTCTTCTAATGAAGAAAAGCAAAGAAGTATGGAAACAGTTAGTCCAAGTGACTGGTCCACCATGTGATCCTCAGCCTATATGATCATGAGACCAGAAGAACCAGATGGTACCCAGCTACCACTGTCAATCACTAGGAGGGGGATCAGTGCAGGAGATCTTGGGTAGAGTTGGAAAACGATGTGGAAGAAAACTTAAAATGATTTAAAAAAGAAAAAAAGACCAGGTTTGCTGATCTGATAGAGCCTTGTGTGACTCCTGAGACTATGGCCCCTTGTTACCCTGCAGGTCTAGAACTGAACTCATTCCTATGGCTTCCAGCCAAACAACAGACAGGCATATGGAGTGAACATTTACATCAGACAGATACACTCCTTGGAGTGATCAATTAGGACAAAACAGAAGGGCAGTGTTTATACAAGGAAACAGCTGGGTGGGGGGCAGTGGGAGTGCATGGGAGGGAAGGACACAGGGAAGAGCTTAACTACAGGGAGGAAGTGGAAAGAGAACTGTTACATTGTGGAACACTGTAGTCAATGTCATGAAACAAAATGTGTATGAACTGCTGTAGGAAAAATGAATTTGCTCTATAAACATTCACCTGAATCACAATAAAAATTTAAAAAGAATAAAGAAAAATATCCTTCTTGTTACATTCTGTTTGGATACACATTGGTTAAATGAACTACAAAAAAAATCTTAGAGCCATGAAGACCGAGAATGTAGACCTCCTCGACTTGACTGGAATCCCAGAGTAGTAGAATCCCAGAGTAGTAACTGACCATGAAGCATACCCAGCCTTTTCGTTTCATGCCCAAATTCTCAGCTAGAACATCATGACATCGACAAAGTGAAATGTGCAAGACTGAAAAAACAGAAAGGTGCATCTCAGAATACAAAATATCAGGCAGGAAACCAGGAGTAATGATTATCTTAGTTTCAGGTAACTGCTTTAACAATCTTGAGACAGGGACTATCTGTAGGCTTCCTGAGTCCAGGAAGGAAAAAGGACTGAAAAGAACACAAAGCTACAGTCACTGCTCAGGGGTGATAATGAGCTCTGCCCAGAGCTCTCCCGGAGGCCCAGAACAAACGCTTCATCTATCTGGGTTTATGTAGCTGGGAAACTGTACGTGTTGACGATTTCTTTTCCTGTTAGTTTTTAACCTAAGCTGTTTGAAAGCCTAAATACAGATGCTGCAAGAAATTGAAAGAGTTCCTTTTCTATGATTTCTTCAGGTTTTTACTTAATTATATACAAGAATAAAAATATAATCTCTTATTTAATGAGAAGATAAAACAAAATAAAATAGTGTTAATCCCTGCCATCAAGTAGCTTCCAACTCATAGTGACCCTCATTGGGTTTCCAAGGTGATAAATCTTTGCAGAAGTAGATTGCCTCATCTTCCTTCTGCAGAGTAGCTGGTGGGCCACCAGAGCTCCTTAAAATAGTGTTAGTTGTCAAAAAAAAAAAAAAAAAAAATACATATTGCTCAAAATTCTAATACCTCTGAAACAAAACATTTTAACAGTAGTTTGATGACAGCCTGTACAAGGGATGGTTTGAGAATGGCGCTTCCTATTACATAGAACATAATTCTCATCTTGAAGTTCCAAAAGGCCCACACCTCTCCTGTCTTTTACCTTCCCTGTTCTTCCTAAGACACAGAGCCACTTCTTCAGTCCTTGTGGGCCTGAGGACGCACCTGAATGTGCATGGCACCCTCTACTGCTTCCTGCATGTCACAGCAGCCATTGATGAGAGACAGCTGTTCTTGGGCACCCAGCGAGCCTTTCAGGGCACCTGACTGCTCCAGCACCTCCATCTCCTTCCTGGGAAAAGCAGAGAGGGATCACGGTGAGTACTCACAATCAAATTCAAAAACAAAGGATGAAATGAGTCCTGTGTGAAGTGGGTGGGATGGAAAGCATTGGTCCTTTTTATCATCATTCTTCCTTCCATCCTCTGGGATGGAAGGGCTAAAGGATGGCATCTAGTCATCAGAGCTGGCTTCAGGTGTGAGCACCTGCACCCAGAGGACCTGTGCTTGCTCTAATGCTCTGCTGCCACTGTCCACCATCTGTAAAGTCCCACTAGATTTTGAACAAGGGCCCCACAACTACATTTGCACTCAAACCAAAAACCAAACTCACCACCGAGTCAACTCTGACTCACAGCAACCCCCACTGGATTTCCAAGGCTGTAAATCTTTACAGAAGTAGATCACCCCATCTTCCTCCCATGGAGCTGCTGGTGGGTTTGAACCACTGACCTTTTGGCTAGCAACCAAATGCTTTACTCATTATGCCACCAGAGCTCCACTGGCACTGGGCCCCTCCAATAACATAGCCATCCAGCTCATAATTCACATAGTAAGTAAACAGGGCAAAGTATACATATAAACACACACACAGTTGCCTAAGGAGCAACACTCATGCTTCCCAAAAAAACTCTATGGATATTCCACTACTGAGTCAAATAACTTGACATCATTTTACACCAGTTTTCATCTTTAAGTTGTCAAGTACCCTTTAGCCAAAACCCACCAGGAATATACTTGTAGCTGCACAGGTTAGGCTTATTGCTTTTTGCTTCTTTCCCTGTTGTTGTTATTGTTGTTATGTACCATTGAGTTGGACCCAACTTACAGCAACCCCTCCTTGGGTTTCCGAGGCAGTATCTCTACGGAAGTAGATTGCCCAACCTTCCTTCCAAGGAGTGGCTGATGGGTTTGAACCACCAGCCTTCTGGTTAGCAGTGAAGTGCTTTAGACACTATGCTAGCAGAGCTCCTTCTTTCCCTAGTCTCTCTAAATCTTTCAGACCTCTGATGTGATATATGTTAGGCCTTCTCTCTATCTTCCATATTGTTTAACTTCTTTTTCCCATTTCCCAACTCTTCATCTCTGAATTGCATTTGGAATAACATCTTCAGATCTGACTTCCAGCCACTTGCTCCCTCAAGATGCTTGGTTGTGGCTAAGAAGCTACCCAACCTTGTCCCCTGTTAGTTCTATAATGTATATGGCTATTTTGTAGCACAAATATGCATGTAGGATTGTTGTTGTTGTTGTTAGGTGCCGTTGAGTTGGCTCCAACTCAGAGCAACCCCATGCACAAAAGAATGAAACACTGCCTGGTCCTGCACCAGCCTCACAATCCTTACTATATCAGAGCCTGTCATTGCAGCCACTGTGTCAATCCATCTCGTTGAGAGCCTTCCCCTTTTTCACTGACCCTCCACTTCATCAAGCATGATGTCCTTCTCCAGGAAATGGTTCCTTCTGACAACATGACCAAAGTAAGTGAGATGAAGTCTGGCCATTCTCACTTCAAAGAGCATTCTGGCTGCACTTCTTCCAGGGCATATTTGTTCGTTCTTCTGGCAGTCCATGGTATTTCAGCATCCTTTTCCAACACCACAACTCAAAAGCAGCAACTCTTTGGTTTTCCTTATTCATGTCCAGCTTTCAAACATATGAAGCAACTGAAAATACCATGGCTTGGGTTAGGACATCAGCCAAATCTACCTACAGCCATGGATGGGTATATTCCTATTCACCGCCCCACACTTGATCATTCCACTTGTCTGCCCACGTATCCACCTATAGTCTAGTGTTTGTTGTTACTGACAATGCAGTATTGTGTATATAATAGTATTTTCTCTGTTGTCTATACCTTTTGTGCACCTCTTTGTGTCCTCCTTTCCCCTACTGTTATTGTGCTGGTCACACACTTTTTTATACAGCCTTTCCCTTCACCCAAATCAACACTATGCTCACTATGCTCAGAATACCTCGTTTGTCATGTACTTTGAGATTGCTGGCTATGAGCATGTGCTCAGTGATCTGTATGTAACTGGGAATTCTTTGAGCCTTAGGTATAAGGTACCTTATTCTGGAGATGACAGGCATTTTGTCTCTGCCAGGCATCTGGGGATACTACCAATAAAAGCACCGATTTCAATTCATGGATTGGGGCTTTCGCACCACACAGGTAGTGTGAACTTGGGCTCCAGCACTCTAAGATGGCTTGTTTATGGTTATAAATTATTGGAGATATTCTCCCTCCCATCAGGCAAGACCACAGCAGACCAAGCTTCAATTATGGGTCAGAATTATTTTTCTCCTAGTTCTCCTTTTCACCAAGGATGTATCCCTTTAGGGATTCTAGTTTCATTCAGAACGTTCTAAGTTGATTCCCCATCTGGAACAGACTATGATGGTCAGCCAATGCTATGACCACCAATGCTCCAGATTACCATGACTGATAAATACCCTGAGAGCAGCTACTGGCTGTGGCTCCAATTCTCTATTTCTCTGGATTTGTGTCCCCAAACTTCGCCTCTAAAAATTTCTATCACTTTCTTGCCAGGTTAACTCAACTCAATGCCATTGCATCGGATCCGACACATAGAAACCCCTCCTTGGGTTTCCGAGACAGTATCTCTACAGAAGTAGATTGCCCAGCCTTCCTTCCGAGGAGTGGCTGGTGGGTTTGAATCGCCAGCCTTCTGGTTAGCAGTCAGATGCCTCTGGCACTATGTCACCAGAGCTCTCCTTGCCAGGTTAGCTATGCATTTAAAACAAAAACTTCTAACTATACATTTACCTAACACTTTTTAGTGTCTTCGAAGTGGAAAAGGTTTTAAAGATACCTATTTTGCTATGCTGCCAGAAACTGAATTACAGACTGTTTCCACTACCCAAGTGTCAGTTGCTTGTACTGTGGTGGCTTGCATGTTGTTGTGATGCTAGAAGCTATACTCCAGTATTTCAAATACCAGCAGATCACCCACAATGGACAGGTTTCAGGTAAGATTTCATTAAAGGAGACTAGGAAGAAAGGCCTGGTAATCTACTCCCAAAATTTGGCCAATGAAAATCTTACACCAAAAAACCCAAACTCATGGCCGTCGAGTCGGATCCAACTCACAGCAATCCCTCCTTGGGTTTCTGAGGCAGTATCACCATAGAAGCAGATTGCCCAATCTGCCTTAGGGATCATATAACAGACCACTGTCTGACTTACTTGCTTGGACACATAATCAAGAGAGATCGACTGCTAAAGAAGGACACCGTGTTTCTCGAAGTAGAGGGCTATGAAGGACAACAGAGGCCCTCAGTGAGATGGACTGGCACAATAGCCATAACTATGGACTTGAACACAATCATGAGGATGATCAGGAAACATTTTCTTTATTGTATATGGATTGCCATGAGTCAGAGTCAACTCAATGATAACTATCTCCATCTATGTGTATATTTTACATTTTGCAAGAAAAGGGAAATACACACCTTCCTTGTTATAGTGACGATGATAAGCTATTCCAAGTAAATATGAGCTCTACTATACTAATAAATTTATAACACAGTAACAGTTATTAACTGAGTGCATCATTGTTCTGGTTCCTATGTACTAAGAAGTAAAACATTATTGATTTGTTGTTGTTGTTGTTGTTATGTGCCATCAAGTCAGCCCCGACTCATAGCAACCCCTCCTTGGGTAGCTGAGGCAGTATCACTATGGGAGTGGATTGCCCAACCTTCCTTCCGAGGAGTGGCTGGTGGGTTTGAACCACCAGCCTTCTGGTTAGCAGTCAAGTGCCTTAGGCATTATGCTACCAGAGCTCCTTATTGATACTGATTTTTTAGTTGTCTTCAAACAATATGATTACCAGTTTTTATTTCCCAGCTTTGTCCTATTTTGTTGTTATGTGCTGTCAAGTCAGACCCGACTCATAGCGACCCCTCCTTGGGTTTCCAAGGCAGTATCACTATGGAAGTAGATTGCCATGAGTCCTATATATATATATATGTGTGTGTGTGTGTGTGTGTGTGTATATATATATATATATATATACACACACACACACACATATATATGTACATGTATATATATGTAGGAGCTCTGGTAGCATACTGCCTAAGGCACTTGACTACTAACCAGAAAGCTGGCGGTTCAAACCCACCAGCCACTCCTCGGAAGGAAGGTTGGGCAATCTACTTCCATAATGATACCACCTTGGTAACCCAAGGAGGGGTTGCTATGAGTCGGGGCCGACTTGACAGCACATAACAACAACAACAACAAATATATATACATATATATAATACATATACACACACACACAAACACCCCAAACAAACCTACAAAAATTCACTTCAATTAAACTTAAAGCATTTGCTGTTATGAAGGAATAAGTGAGAAATTTAATTCAAGGTCTCTCTATTCCTTTTCTGAGGAGCTGTATTGGTGTAAGTGGTTCAAACCTACCAGCTGCTCTGTGGAAGGAAGATGGGGCAATCTACTTCTGTAAGGATTTATGGCCTTGGAAACCCACGGGGGGTCACTATGAGTTGGAAGTGACTCAATGGCAGGGAGTGTGGTTTTGGTTTATTCCTTTTCTAGAACTTTTTTCTTTTCACAATTTAAGATATTTAAAAAGTAGAAAGATTAAATATCACTATATTTCTACCATTTATAATTAAAAACTACCAATCTAATTTGCTTCTTGTTTAAAAAATAAAGCATAAAAGTTAAAATTCTTTGAACCACACACACACACACACACACACACACCCTACTTCACACAATCATTTTCTAATGGTTTATTAAATGCCAAAGCTGAGTAGCCTAATGATTTCATCCTCTAGGGAATTAGGTCTGAATACTTAGTGTACTCAGAATCACCTGCTTCAAGCTTCAAGTAGGCCAGCTGTGTACCTTCACATCTTTTCATTACCCCAAAGCAAACATTTGCTCTTTCTTCCGAAAGTGTCACTGAATCTGATTAGATCAAATCAATTGGAGTACCAGAGATTCTCTTGTTC